ACTAGAGACTATGGTTTCTATTACAAATAAAATCGGTATTCCTCCATTTTCCCAAATGTAAAAAACTAGTAATCTTAGCCATGTCTTTTCCAACCACATCCATCCCCATCTACCTGATATTTTAACAGTCTGTCCTAAGGGTGGGTGTCCTATGGTTTGAGAATCACTGCCCTAAAGGAACAAGACATGATGAGGCCAAGGTTCAGTCAGTCTCTTTGCCTTTCAGGGCAGGAATTACCATTTCCTGGGATCAGCACAGAGAGGGCAATGAAGCCAAGACCTTGTATATCACTGGGCAGGAAGAATTTCACCAGATTAGGTGTGGCTCTGACACAGTCACCTTCAGTTTAGTGTTTCAGAGCAAGAGGTTTAAAATTACAGCTTAGGTTTAAGTCTCATCTCTGCAGCTTAATGTCTGTGTGACCTTGGTCAAGTTCCTCAAGCTCACCAGGCCTGTTTCCTCATTTATAAAAAAGAACAGTATATACCTTATTTTTTTTTTTTAAAAAACAGGGTCTTGCTATGTTGCCCTGGCAAGTCTTAAACTCCCAAGTTCAAGCTATCCTCCCTCCTGCCTCTGCCTCCTTAGGTGTTTAGGATTACAGGCATGAGCCACCACACCTGGCCTCCTAAGATTATCAAGGCTATTCAATGAGATTGTGCCTCTAAAGCAGGATTTCTCAATGTTAGTTCTCTTGACACTTTGGACTGGGTAATTTTTCATTGTGATGTGCTGTCCTGTGACACAGAAGATTTAGTAGCATCCCTGGCTTCTATCCTCTAGGTGCCAGTAATATCCTGAGTTGTGACAACCAAAAAGTCTCTAAACGTTGCCACAAGTAGCCTGGGGGCCAAAATCATCCTTTGTTGAAAAACACTGCTCTGGCCGGGCTCAAGCCTGTAATCCCAGCACTTTGGGAGGCTGAGATGGGCGGATCACGAGGTCAGGAGATCAAGACCATCCTGGCTAACACGGTGAAACCCCGTCTCTCCTAAAAAATACAAAAAACCAGCCGGGTGAGGTGGCGGGCGCCCGTAGTCCCAGCTACTCCAGAGGCTGAGGCAGGAGAATGGTGTGAACCCGGGAGGCGGAGCTTGCAGTGAGCTGAGATCCGGCCACTGCACTCCAGCCTGGGTGACAGAGCGAGACTCCGTCTCAAAAAAAAAGAAAAACACTGCTCTGAAGCCTTCAAACAGCACTGTCCAACAGAATGTTCTATGATGACAGAAACATTCCATATCATGTTCTATATCTGTGCTGCCCATGATGGCAGCCATGAAGCCCATGTGGCTACTGAGCATTGAGATGTGGCTGGTGCTACTAAATAGCTTCTTCCTCCTTATCAACATCATGATTGCAGAGAATATTCACTGAGTACTCACTATGAGTCGGATACCATCCCAAGTACTTATTGGATTATCTCATTTACTCCTCGTGATTTCCCTGAGGTAGGTTTTTCCATACATATCTTCATTTTACACATGAGGAAAGTGAGACTTAGGTCAAGTAACTTGTCCAGCATCACACAGCTAATACGTGATAGAACTGGGAATCACTGTCTGATTCTAAAGCCCGTGCACTTAAACACTAGACTTACACTGGCTCCCTTTGGAGTAAGCACTCAATGAATCGTAACTCTTACAATGTTGATCACTCTCTGATTTACATTCATCTCCCAGAGGGTGGACAGCAGAGCCTCTCCAGTCTGGGGAAAGAGGTGGGGCAGATTCCTAGGGAGCCAAATGGAGGGGTTACCTGGGTCTCCTCCTTTGCAGCTGTCGATAGCCACCTCAGCTGCCAGCTGCGTTAGCAGATCCTGTGTCTGCTGGGCTTGGGTCCTGTTGTCTGGTGTGTGATGTGCCTGTCCAGACGAGGAAACCTCAGTGGAGAGCAGGGGTAGCCCAGAAGCAGTCTAGGTCAGGGATGGATGCTAAGGAGTTCTCAAAGCCCAGGGAAAGGAGAAGGATCCACGGCCCACATAATCAAGTAGGTCTGGCAGTCCCCAACAGGACTGAGGGGCCACTTTTTCCTGCCCTACCCAATTGTGCTGTTTGTCCCTGGTCCCCGGGTCTGGTAGCAGGCCTGAGGATCAGGAGGTAGGGGTGGGAGGCTTTGCCAACTCCTGCAAAGTACATAAAATACAAAGGTTGGTGCAAAAGTAACTGAGGTTTTTGCAATTAAAAGTAATGACAAAAACTGCAATTACTTTTGTACCACCCCAATACCTGTGTCTGGGCATCTGCTGGGTCCTCCCCCTAGCACTCCCGCTTCTCTCCTAAGCCACAACACTCACCGGCTGGGGGGTTTGAGAAGGTAGAACTCTGCCCTGCAACGCCGCAAGTCGTGCCTCCATTTCCCGGGTGGAAGGGATGGAGCCCTGATGTTCATCCTTTAGCGCAGCCAGTCGTGCCTCTATCTCTTCCTGTGAGGGGACTAACTCTGCAATTGGCACGGAGGGAGCCTTGTAAGGGCCAGAGGCATCTCAGTCCCAGAAGCCCTGGACTGTGTCCTCTAGGCAACCCCATCTGCCCCCGCTCACTGGGCTTGTTCTCCTGGCGGAGTCGTGCTAGGCGCTCAGCAATCATCTGGTCTTGTCGGGTCAGTCCCTGGCTCTGGGAAGTGCTGGGCTTCTGCCTGGCTTCCAAGGCTGCCACACGCCTGGCAGGATATGAGACAGAGGCTCTTGAAGAAGGCAGAGGGGAAAAGTGAAGGCACCCACTCACTGTTTCCCATTCAAATCGAATCATTTCTGGGCACCTAGGGAGGCCTCCAGTGGGCAATCTGCTGTGCCCCTCACTCATGCCACCCTGCAGCCCAACCTGGCTGACCAGCCAGAGGGTCTAGCTGAAAGGACAAGCTATACCTAGTGCCTGTCCTGGAGAGAGGGCTGAAGAGCTGCTTTACAAGCCCAAGAGGGCAGTGAGGAGCTGGAGAGGAGAGCATTCTCCTGATTCTGTGCTCATTCCATCTAGAAGATTCGGGGAGGGTCTTTCCCTATGGCTCCCTTAGCCTTTCCCCAACCCTCTTTGTCTTTTTCTCTTCAGCACTTACTTCTTATAGTTCTGAGGTGGTGACCACTTGGAGGCATTGGCAGAAGATCCTCTACAGAGAAGAAATCTAGTGTTATAAGTCCTGCCATCCCACCAGGTAGTGCCCCCCACTCCAAACACTTCCTCGGCTGACTCTCGCCATAGAGTACAAAGCTGTGAGGGCTGGCCAGATGCCCACTGCCATACTTGACTGAACTTTCACCCATGCCTGCCTCTCACCTGGTCAGGACCTCGTGGCATTGCTTGCAGACTTTCTGTTGGGTGTTCCCAGTCCGAGGCACTGCTGCACTGAAGCTTAGGCAGCCTGAACAGAAGGCCCTGCCACAATTCTTACAGCCATACTACAAGAAACATGAAACAGGAGATCCACCTCTCACCTGCCCCTACAGGCTGCTCCCAGGGACTCTCCAATCTCACATACAGAGAAGTCACTGAAGTCATGGCCAGCTGCTGGGAGGAGGAAGAGGAGTGGGGCCCCTAAGGCCTAGGGGTGGAGAGTAAAGCAATTCCTCGGTTTCCAGCATCTTATTCAAGCCAAATGAAGGTTTATACAAAATTCCCAGGCTTTCTACCCTGTCTTCAATTCCCTGACCCAGGGGTGTAGAAGGCAGATAGATAAAACCCAGTATTTCAGGCCACTGACTCTTCCACAAAGGAGAATCAGAGACTGAGCAGAGCCCATGCCTCCTCTGCTCTTGCTCAGGATGGGCTAACAATAGCCTCCATTTATTAAGCACTTACTATGTACCAGGCACTAAACCCAGTACTTAACATTCATCATGTGATTCATTCCTCACAATTTACACACATTATTTTACTTAATCTTGATGCCAACCGTGATTATACTTGTTTCGAGAGGAACAGAGATCCTTTTACCCAAACCAAGGTCACCCCCTCAGTAAGACAGCAGATCTCAGATTTGAACCCTGACTCCAAAATCCAGGTTGGTAAACGCTACACAGTCCTGCCTTCCTACATGATACTAATTTACTCCATCTGGTTCCCAGCATCTCCTGGTCAGAATCCCTAGCCACAACTGAGGCAGAGGGGGCCTGCAGTTTACTAGAGGAATCTGGCAGGTCTGTGATAAGGACAGGACAGCTACCCTTCACCATGGTGCCCCTGAATCAGGAGGAAGTGTGGTAACCGAACTCGAGCGACCTGGAGAAGGGCGGGCTGCGGGATGGGGAAGGTTCAGAGCGGAGAGAGTAACGGGCTTGGTGTGATAGACACCGTGCTTCAGAGGGGCAGGGTGGAGAGAAAAAAACCGCCAGATGCTACACTGGGCCGACAGAAAAGAGTAGCGTTGCAAAAATGACGGCAGCGCGCTTTACAGTTTATAGGGAACTCTCAACCTAAAGCACTTCAGTGGACCCTCACATAAACTCAGAAAGCGAGGGAATGTTAGTCCCATTTTACAGAAATGGAAACTGAGGATCAATGACTTCATCAAAACTACATAGCTGGAAAGGGGCCGTAAGACCAAGTTTTGGACGTTAAGTCCCGCGCTTTTCCCTCCTCTCCTCCCTGGCCCTGCAGCTTTCGGGGAGGGAAGACTCGCCTCCTTCTTGAAGAGGGTGAACTTGACAGCGCAGCCGTAGCACCTACTCTCCATGGTGGCTCCCAGCACCGCAGGATCTGCAGAGTTGAAGTCACGCCGCCCAAGTCCTAGGCCCCTTGTACCCTCACCCCAGCTCCGCCCTTCCCTTCCCTGCCCTGCCACGCCCTGCCCCGCCCCACACGCCCACTGGCACTGTCCGGCCGCGACCTACAGCGGGGAATCCGCACGCTCCCCTGCAGCCAGCCTACGGCAGCGGCGGCAACGGGGGCTGCTGGGAGTCGTAGTTCATTCACGACTGCCAGCCTCCCTCAGAGTCAGTCAAGCCTGACCCAGAACACAATTCCCAGAGGGCTAGGCGCCACTCGGAGCCGGCAGTCCCCACGCGCGCTTAGACTCTTGGGAGTTGTAGTACGAATCCGTCAGGCCAGAACCATGGCAGTGACCAAGGAGCTCTTACAGATGGACCTGTACGCGCTGCTAGGCATTGAGGAGAAGGCAGCGGACAAAGAGGTGAGAATGGTGGCGAGGAAGGCTGATCCTGAGAGGTCTGGCGGCCCTTCCTGTCCTAGCGCCAGGGCCGCGGCTGGTATCCGCTCTCCAGGTTCATTCGGGTCCTGGGCGGGGAGCGAGGGTCGGCCCTATGCCCTCCGCAGCGGGCTCCCAGACATTTCCTGGACGGTCCGAGGGCCTCAAGAGGAAGCGGGGAACAGAGGGCTCTTCGCGCCGGGTGGCTGTGCTCTCCCTGTGGCCTCTGTCTGCTAGAGGCCGCGGGGTGAGGCTGCAAGGGAACGCTAGCCTCCTCTGCGCTTGCGCAGTCTCGGCCTCCGTTTCCGCTTCTGCCTTGGCTGTGACAAGAGGTGCCTCGTTTCAGTCTCTTCTGCAGGCTGATTTAATTCCTCCACTTAGAGCCTAGGGCGAAAGAAAAGTCAGATCTCAAGGCCTCTCCACTCCCTTTTCATGCCCCCTTGCCAATGTGACCGATGACCCTGCTGTCTCTATTTTCTTTTCCACTCTAGCCCATTGATTCTTTTCAGGTAGCTGATGCCCTTCTCAGCATGTGCTCGTTAGTGGGCTAAAAGCAGGAGGATCAGAAAGTTAAGGCAGACGGCCTAGAGTTCCATGCTACCTTAGGTGTTGATAAAAGATGCCAGGGAGTGAAACACTGATCAAGCTGGATTTAGGATTTCTGTTATCTCCCCCTGGATCATGGTGGTAGTTTTAACAATATAGGGAGAGGCGTTCATCAAATGAAAATTAGTGCCCAACTGAGCCGAGATCGCGCCACTGCACTCCATCCTGGGCGGCAAAGCAAGACTCCGTCTCAAAAAAAAAAAAAAAAAAAAAAAAGTAAAATTAGTGCCCATTAGGCCGGGTGCGGTGGCTCACACTTCTAATCCCCGCACTTTGGGAGGCCGAGGCGGGCGGATCACGAGGTCAGGAGTTCGAGACCAGCCTGGCCAATATGGTGAAAGCCCGTCTCTATTAAAAATACAAAAACTAGCCAGGCGTGGTGGCACGCACCAATAGCCTCAGCTACTCGGGGGGCTGAGGCAAGAGAATCGCTGGAACCCGGGAGGTGGAGGTTGCAGTGAGCCAAGATTGTGCCACTGCACTCCAGCCTGGGTGACAGAGCGAGACTCCGTCTCAAATTAAAAAAAAAAAAAAAAAGGAAAAAAGAAAATTAGTCCCCACTATTGTCCCTGTACTTCTGAGCTGCCCTGCTCATGGGGTGAGTGAGCTTTTGAGAAGAGGAAGCTCTGGGGCAGAAAATCAGGGAGACCCAGAGGGTCCCTGAGAGATGCTGTCAACCTGCACAAATCTGTCCCCTGCAGCCGCAGTTGAAATCAGAAGTGGCCATGGCATGTCTATGAAGCATCAAAAGCATCTGCTCCACCTCTCTCATGTTTTAATATTTTAGGATTAATAATTCCTAACACCTGTATAATGCTTACTATGTCCTAGACAGTATTTTTTTTTCCTGGATTGTATTCTAAGTGCTCTCCGTTTGCAAATTATTATTTTTAAAATTCTTTATTTATTATTATTTTTTGAGACGGAGTCGTGCTCTGTCGCCCAGAGCTGGAGTGCAGTGGCGCAATCTCAGCTAATTGCAACTTCTGCCTCCTAGGTTCAAGTGATTCTCCTGCCTCAGCCTCCCGAGTAGCTGGGACTATAGGCATGCACCAGCACGCCTGGCTAATTTTTTTTTTTTTTTTTCCGTGATCTTCCCACCTCAGCCTCCCAAAGTGCTGGGATTACAGGTGAGAGCCACCATGCCCTGCCTGTATATTATTTAATTAGTACTTTATTACTAGTGGGAAATTATTTGAGACATTTCACCCAAGATCCGAGTGGGAAATCTGGAGTTTTGGGGGTTTTTTTTTTTTTTTTTTTGAGATGGAGTCTCACTCTGTTGCCCAGGCTGGAGTGCAGTGATGCAATCTTGGCTCACTGCAACCTCTGCCTCCCAGGTTCAAGGAATTCTCCTGCCTCAGCCTCCTGAGCAGCTGGGATTACGGGCATGTGCCACCACGCCCAGCTAATTTTTGTGTTTTTATCAGAGACAGGGTTTCACCCTGTTGGCCAGGCTGGTCTTGAACTCCTGACCTCAAGTGATCCACCAGCCTTGGCCTCCCAAAGTGCTGGGATTACAGGCATGAGCTACCGCGCCCAGCTGAAATCTAGAGTTTCTAACCCTGAACTTGAGAACTCCTGAGGAAGTCAGTTGGAAGCCATTCTCTATTAATTAGAGAAGTTACATAATCAGATTTTCTTTTTTTTTAATTCTAGTTTTTGAGAAAAGATCTCTCTCATTCAGGCTGGAATGCAGTGGCACAATCACAGCTCGCTGCAGCCTCGGCTTCCTGGGCTCAAGTCAACCCACCTCAGCCTCCCATGTAGCTGGGACTGCAGGTGTGCATCATCATGCCTGGCTAATTTGTTTTGTGTGTGGGGTGTGTGTGTGTGTATGTTTTTTTTTTTTTTTTTCTCCCAGAGATGGGGTCCAGCTGTATTGCCCAGGCTGGTCTCAAACTCCTGGGCTCAAGTGATCCTCCTGCCTTGGTCTCCCAGAGTGCTGGGATTGCACGTGTGAGCCACTGTGCCCTGCCCATAATTGGATTTTAAAGAAAGTATTCAGCTGAATGTGATGGCTCACACCTGCATTTCCAGCACTTTGGGAGGCCAAGGTGGAAGGAATGCTTGAGGTCAGGAGTTTGAGACCAGCCTGGGAAACATAGTGAGACTCTGTCTCTCCATATATATAAAAAACACAAAAAAAAAGCTGGGCAGGGTGTTACATGCCTGTAGTCCTCACTACATGGAAGGCTGAGGTGGGAGGATCACTTGAGCCTGGGAAGTTGCAGTGAGCTATGATTTTGCCACTGCATTCCAGCCTGGATGACAGGGTGAGACCCTGCCTCTCTTAAAAAAGAAACGAGAAAAGAAAAGAAAAAAGGAAATAAAAGAAAATTCAACTCTAGTCTGCATAATGAAAATGGGTGGGGGTGGGAGGAATGGAAGAGCTGCCACTAGGGGGTCAGGTGGGGCTGGTGTCTAGGCAAGAGACCAAGGTCTGAGCTGGGCAATAGTGACTGGGATCCAGTTCTAACTCAGATGAGATAAGGGATATGTGTGAAGCCTCTTTATAAAGCGTAACAGGTGCTGTTCCTGCCTTTTAGTAGGAGAGGCAAGATTCATGCATACAAGGGAGACATGGTAAGTTCCTTAAGAGGGGTACAAAGTGCTGTGGATGTTCAGTGTAGGCTGAGATTGCTTTTAGTTTGAGAGAAGGGATAAAGGAAGTAGAGAAGGTATTTGGGGCCTTGAAGAATGAGAAGAGTTTGGACATGTGGAGGTGGAGGCAGGGCATTCTAAGAAAGCAAATGTATATATTAATACGTACAGTCTATTTTGGAGCATAAGTAGGTGGCACCCTCAAAGAGGCCTTACCTATTTTTCTTTTTCATAGCAGCCAGTTCTCCTTTCTAGCACTTATTCCCATTTGCACTTTGGATACACTGGCTAGCTTCATGGCAACAGACACTTTTTGGTAGAAAACAAGAGAGACCTAGGCCCTGGTGTCCCCTCACCATGGTTTAATACCTGTCATAGCCAACCTAGGTTGCTGTCATAGGGCAACCTAGAGGATACACAAATATTTCAAGTGTATACAAGGAAGAACTCCTAAACTGGTTGTCCAAATAGCCTGGGAGTTCTCAATTTGGCCTCTACAGAAAGTCTCCAGGAACTGGGTGAAGGAACCTCTGAAAATCATGTGTGATATTTTTTATGTATTTATTCTGGAGGAGAGGGGGACATTTTTTTTTCTTTCTTTTTTTTTTTTTTTTTGAGGCAGGGTCTCTCCCTGTTACCCATGCTGGAGTCAGTGGCATGATTACTGCTCACTGCAAACTCCTTCTCCTGGCCTCAAGCAATCCTCCCACCTCAGCCTCAAAAGTAACTGGGACCACAGGTGTGCACCACCATGCCCGGCTAATTTTTGTATTTTTGTAGAGATGGGGTTCCACCATGTTGGCCACGTTGGTCTTGAACTCCTGGGTTCAAGCAGTCCTCCCGCCTTGGCCTCCGAAAAGGGATTATAGGCATGAGGTACCACACCTGGCCAGAGGAGGGAATTTTAATTCAAAAAAGGTTAAAGAAGCCCTGATGGAGGCCAAGCTCCCTGTGTTACTGATGGTGAAACTGCGGCTCAGAGAAGTGGGTTAGTGGCAGAATTGAGACTAGAACCCTGATGCTCAGGCCTCTGCTCCGTCTACTAAGGCTCCCTGGCCCTGTCCAGCGCGGTTCAGTGGTAGTGATGAGCACCACTACCAAATTTAACTTGTGTTCAGACTACTTCTCTGAATCCCTAATCCATGTATCTATCTGCCTGTTTGATCCCTCCATTTGGATGTTTCACAGCAGTCTAAATCTTACTACATCCAAAAATTGGCCAGGCACAGTGGCTTATGTCTAATCCCAGCACTTTGGGAGGCCCAGGCAGGCACATCAGCTGAGGTCAGGAGTTTGAGACCAGCCTGGCCAACAGGGTAAAATCCCATCTCTACTAAAAATACAAAAATTAGCCAGACGCAGTGGCATGTGCCTGTAGTCCCAGCTACTGGGAGGCTGAGGCAGGAGAATCGCCTGAACCTGGGAGGCGGAGGTTGCAGTGAGCTGAGATCAAGTCACTGCACTCCAGCCTGGGTGACAGAGCTAGAATCTGTCTCAAAAAAAAAAAAAAAAAAAAAAAAATTGAACTCTTTCAAGTCTCTCTCCAAACCTGCTCCTTCCTTGGATTTCCCTATCTTATGGCACCACCATCCATCTATTCAAGCTAGGAACCTGGAGTCATTCTCAGTACCTCCCTGTCCTCTCACCCATGCCATCTAGAACATCACCGGGTCCTGATGAGTCAGGCTCCCAAATAATCCTCAAACCTGTTCACCCTCTCTGTCTCCACCACCACCACTCCAGCCCAGGCCCCCATCCACTCAGCCAAATGTTTC